ATTCAGTGAGATCAATACTAAATAACAGATAATAATAAAAAGAAATATTTAAAAAGAAATATTCACTGAGAATCTTTTAATGGACGAAATGCAATTGGAATAACAGGTTTTTCAACATATTCTATTTGATATTGACTTTTAGTTTCCATTGGAACTGCACGTATTAATAAAGAATCTTTCTTCTGAGAAAACAAAAAAAATCTGATAGTTTTAGGTTAAAATCTCGATAAATAAACATGCCGGTTTCGTATGTGTGGTCGAAGTGTTTTTAATACTGCTTAATGGTGGAGGTTGATAATGATCTCGTTGTGAACTAAGACCACTCATTGGTACATTTTTAAATGATATCGGTATTTCATTGTCAGGTACAGGAGGACATGGTTGACGACGATGATCTGCTGGTCCACCAGATACATTTGTTGCTGCTTGAAATGTTGCTTGATAATGTGAAAGAGGACAACGAAGTGCTAATGGTAATTTTGTTCGTTGTACTGTTTTTCGCCGACATTCTGGATGATGTTCATAACCTGCACGATCAAAACAACCATCATCACATAGTTCACAGGGACATTTGTCAAATTTTGGTAAATCAGTAAGTTGCAATTTAGAAACATCAATGTTCTCCAATTTCATTTTTATGTCAACCAGCAATGCATAAAACCATTAAATAAATGATAGCAACCAATTTTTGAATATGTTTACTCTGTAACAACAAATAGTAAAGAGAAAAGAAAAAGAAACGAAGAGAAGATGAAGAAAGAAAAATGCAATGGCATCAAACTTTAACGATTTCAATTTTTCTATGCGTATATGTTGCAATGTTAAATGAGCATTTCTTCTGTTCTTTTAATCAGTACAATGTGATCGTTTTTTTGTCTCATGTATTAAAGTAAATTTTGTCAATCAAAAAGAAAACATTAGACACTTTGACAAAAAAAAAGTAAAAAACAGATGATAAATTTTTATAGGATAAAAAGAATATTTAAAAACTAATTCATAGAGATTTTGACTTTTGCTTTAATTAAATATTAATGGGTTTAAAACTGAAGGATAGATTAAATGTTATTTTCAAATTCGATGTTTTCGAAAGTGTCAAGAATGTAAAGAAGTATTTTTAGGTTATCACATATGTCTAATAAAACATTCTCTAACGAGGAAATCGTTCCAAATGATAATTTCCTTAGCAATTCCAAACTTTATACATAAAATAGATCATGGTGAAGTATAAAAAAAAATATATCAACAGATAGAATAAGAATATTTGAACCTATATTTTTTTCCAAAAATAGACTACTATGTAAAAAAGAATTTTAATCTCATTCCAATAGGATTGACGTCAATTTTTAATAGTGATTAAGATCATTTTCTACACACTTTTTACGATATATTTATAATCAAAACACCTTTTTTTCATGTGACATTCTTCATCAATCTTTTTATTAATGTTACCGTATAAATATGACAATAATTTCCTGTGGACTCTGTTTTTTTCATTTATAATAACTGCATACATTTGATTCAAGATATTCAATACGAACAGCTGAAGATTTTTATTTCTATTTAATTTCTTATTGTAAAAAATACTAGTTATTATGTATACTATTAACGTTTAAAATATTTACTAATTAATAATAATTTATTCACTGAATCGTCGAATTCTTTTAAATAGGAAAAAGTATCAAAAAAAAATGTATGAGATTTCTTATTTAAATTTCGAATTTGTTTTCTCCGAATGTTAAAATAACAGTGAATCGTGTTGTAAAATCTTGACTGACGAGATTATAAATCTCTAATCTGAAAAAAATCTAGCAGCACTCGAAAATCAATTCTTATTCTTTGTCATTACAGAATAGAACAATTTCTTGAATAATCCATTAGCAAGATAGTTGCACTTTATTCTCATGATTAGAACGGATCTATTATGATTTCTTTTCCATTGTTATTATTTTATTGTTGAAATTTTCACAGAAATTACAAGCATAAAAAAAATGAACAAAATGATAACAGAACAAAAAAAGTATTGATAGAAGTAATAAGAAAAAAATAAATAAATAAGCAAAAATTCATAGCCATTTTAATAAAATATTTGTCGAGTAAATCAAAAATAAAATTGTTTCTTTAAATGTTGACTTGCTTTGTTTGTGTAGCATACTAACTGTAAAACACTTATTGTAGAAATGAGCAAGAAATGTACGTGAAAAATAATTACGTATTTTTCAATTATAGAAAGAATCTTGATTGAACTTTATGACGAAAAAGAATCCTATCTGATATTTTAAGAGAAAAATAAATGATAAATCAGGAAATGATAATGATTAATCTATCGTCAAGCCTTTTGTTTTAGTAAGACTATTTTTTGGAAGCTCTAAAATTATGTAAGACTTGACTATATATGAATCAACAACTGCATCAATTCTATCAAATATGTTCATAATCTGATGATGTTATGCAATCAAAGTGGAAAAAGTGCGACGTTAGTACTTCGAAGGTCGAGTGAACTACAAGTGAAGTATCATGATGTACCAGTGAAGTGCAGTAAGTATTGTAATTCACTCATACTTCATACCTACTTCAAAGTACGGGAGTCGAACGTTCCTCTCTTGAATTTAATTCATACGCTGATATGAAAAGAATATCACCTGGTTGATGTAAATCGAACTCAACAACAATTAAGTGTCATCGTATAGAAATGAATAAATAACATACAGATGTTTATATGTATATAGATCAATATACACAAAGACATTACACGACATTTGTCTGGAAGATCAGAGAAAATCCTTTTCTTCCCTTTTCTATCACAAAAATCTTTTCTGAATTTTAAGAAACTCTAAATATCTTGTAGTACTTTCCAGGTTTCTGTTTGTCTTGGTCCATCCATCAGTCAAGATTCTTTTTATTTTGAACATCAGATAAAATTCGTTCTATTCATGTATTAATACCACTACTGAGTGATTCAGTACAATAGTACAAAATCTTCTATTTATGTCTTAATTTAGCAATTACATCAATTCTATTGATAAAATATTATGACAATCGAAGAATTTTGATCTAGATTCTCCGAACTACTTTATCTCGGGCAAAAGAATGCATATTATCAAGTGAAATTATATAGAGAAAAAAAATTAGGTACCAACTACTACTTATTTAAAATAGATGCTTAAAGAAAACAAAATCGAAAATAATAGATTGGTAATGATACATTAAACAGAAATACTTTAAAGTACTGTTGTCAAATATCTTTTTCGTTTGATAAAAGATTACTCATACTTTAATTTCATGCCTGCATATTTTTTCTTGATTCCGACGAAAAAAAAAACACAAAAGTACACATATAGGAACACTTATAGAATAGTTGACAATCTATATATTTTCATGTTTTTCTCTCATAAATTCAGAATTTTCCTACTCGATCAACTTCAAATAATTATACATTTAAATATTATTTTCTTACATCAGTTGTTAACAATTTATTCGATTCTAGTTGTGTTTTAGTCAATTATCTTCATGTATAATGAATATCAAACAGATGAAAACCATATTCTTTCTAATTTCATATAAAATTGTTCGATATTTGAATGATCTGTGTGCAGACTTATCGTTTAAACATCAATCGATAGATTTAATGTTAGCTTATTAAATTTCAATCCAAGATTGTCGTCGATATCACTCAGAGATGGGAGAGTTTAAAAATTTAGTAGAAAGTGATTTCATTCTCGAAGTGCTTGAAGTAGTGACGGGATAGAAACGAAGAATGAAACTCACCATGACCCGACCTCTCGCATAACAAATAGCCTGTCACCCGACCGTTCCTCTCCCGGGACCTGTCCCAATTCTATTCACCTCACAACGACATTATCTGTTTAGCTTTTTCTATCTTACTTACTGCCAGAGGAAGGGGAGCGGTATTTCAAAATCCGATTTCTGTCCACAGTTACCAAGAATCTGTAAAAAATGGGCAGAAAATCAGACTTAAGAGGGGAAGTCCCCTCGATCCCTGCTCCCCCCCCCCCCCTTAATCGAGAACTTTGTGTTAATCGGAGAAAGCTGCGAGTAACGTTAAAATAGCAAGATTGATAATTATTTTCATTGTATGTCAGGTGTTAATTCGCTACATTTGTTCTCTAGTGTGAAACGATATATAAGACAAAAAACAAAGATGATGAACTTTGCATATCGTATCCGATCGGAAATTATTTTCCAAAAGCTATATTCTTATTTTTGCTTTTGATTGTACGATGTTTTATGCTAATGTCAACTTAGGTTCACGTTTTCTTTGAAGGTATAACAAATATTATACGCCTACTTGAGACAGAAACACTCTCCTGATTTTCGAGCCTATCGGTGGCTAGATAGGCCATCTACCTGTTAGATTCTTTCTAAATTTTCAAAAACAAATTCGTTTTTTCCAGCAGAAAATGTACGTATTAAAATATACATTACAGTATTTTTTTGCTGCTAGACGACGAGAAATTATTTGTTTTTATCATATTGACTGAATATAATTATGACTAATTAATAAAAGGTGACTACACTATTTATTATCCAATTTGTTTTATTTAATTTTGAGAAAAAGGAAAAATAAGTATTAAAATATGACAGTAGGAGCCAAGTTTTAGACGATAAGTTCGTCAAAATCAATTCATTTTTTGATAAACCATAGATATTCTGAAAGAGGAGACTTCAGTACATCTTCTCATGATAAAACTTCAATTTCGACTCGCCTCCGAAAAATTGGATTTTCTGAGGGGAGGCCCCCTTAAGAGAAGATACACCCACACCCTCCTTTATAAAGGCAATATCTATTTTGAGTAAACTTTAGTCGTTTAATTGTCGTCTGCTGGCTAACCAATAATTTGTTTTCTTTTTATTTCTTTGTCTTCATACGTATGAACGAGAAAGCGGTACATGTATTGCACATGTGTCAATCATGGGTAATATGTTTCAGTGCTTGAACATAGCAGATATAGTTGAAATTCTTTATAAAAAAAAATAATTTCATGATTAATACAAGTGGAAATCGATGGTCGTTGAATCCAATACTATCAACACGAGTTGAATTCACACCAGAACAACCGTTAACCATACAGCAACAACAGATAACAGCTAATATATCAAGAAGAACAGCTGCTGCAGTACATTATCCAATATTAAGAGTTAATGATATGGTTCAAATATGTAGTAATTTAGAACAAATTAAAATATTTCAATGTGAACATGATGAATGGACTGAAGCTATGTCACCAGTGAGTGTATAATAAGATTTTCATTGATCTTGATTAGAAAATATATACGTTAGACACTTGGAAAACTTGGTCGAGTTGTTGATTTATATGATGATGGTGATATTAAAGTTCAAGTGGCATAATTAATTGATTTATTTATTTATTTAATAGAATGCGCTAGTCTCATGAAAAAATGTTTTCTATGTTGAGTATCTATTGATTCAACAGTATCGTTGAATGAACTTTGTTGTGAAAATAATGATCATGTTTCAATAAATTCTGAAACAATAAGAACCACAACAACTTCATCAAATAATATAAACGACACAGTTGCATTAGCTTGTTTACAACAACAATTACAAGAAATTCGTGAACAAGTCTATTGTCCAATATGTATGGATCGTTTAAAAAATATGGTCTTTTTATGTGGTCATGATCTTTGTTAAAATTGCGGTGATCGTGTACAAGAATGTCCAATATGTCGAAAATCAATTGAAAAATCGATTATTTTATATACATAAAAGAACAAAGATTAATTCTTGTATTTTTCTCTATGTAACAATTTTATTTTAGTGTTTAATTTTGTTAGGTAACAAAAAAAAAATAAGAAGGTTTATATGTCTTAATACCAATTGTATCCTTCTGATAAGATTATTTTAGAATGTTGAAGAAATTGATGTCTTTTGCAAAAAGCAATGCGTCTTACTGTTTTATGAACAATTTTTCATACTAACAACATAAAGACCTGGAATTTTCACCATTCAAAAGAGAAGACTTTGGGCTATCTACATATGCTAAAATTTAATTTCTCCACAACCGATAAATTAGGTGAAATCCCTGTGAAAGTTTTGAGAAAGATATTTTGTTGCAGTTTCTCATTGGATTTTAAATTGAAGTATGACCAATCGGTAGAAAAAATTCTTTCTTTTCGATGTATACAAGCCTCAAATTTCTATGATGTTCCGTTCTAGAGTTACAAGGGTTTCCGACATCTCTGATTGCAGCAAATTGACTGCGACAGACTTCACAAAAGGTCAGGACAGTGACAATTCATCATGCTGAGTAGAATGGTGATGTTTGTTTCAAGTTTCCAAGTCACTTGAGACCCTTATTTTAGTATTTTTGAAATATGACAAACTTCTCTCACACAGCATGAAAATCGAAATTTTAAAAATCTTGAGAAAGTAGTTTCAAGTCGTTTTGAAACTGAGAAAAAAACTTTCACAATTTGACTTAGTATGATGGATTGTCCCTGTATTGAAATCTTCCAAGGGATATTGGCTGAAATTAGATGTTCCGAAAAAACCCTTGTAACTCTAGAATGAATCATGCTAGAATCGGAATCCAAAGAATAAAATTTTTGAGAGCGAGGACTAAAAAAATTTGGTCTCGCGCATCAGAATTGAAAAGAGATGTATATAGGCTCAATAAGTAGACAATGGTAACAATTAGAGATATACAGTTTTCTATAATCGAGAGAAGATAACTGTGGACGTCTTTTTGTCTAATATTATATAAAACAAAACTATTTTAAAACTCATTATCTTCCCAAAACACTCAAAGAAAATACATGAAAATGGTGTTCTATTTCAATGTAATTTTGATTTTGACATATGCTTCAGATGAAGGAACTTCATATTTATAATTCAAGGCATGATTTGAGTGATTATCTTCTTACATTGTAATGCCCAGCAAATAAAATTTCGTACGCATTTAGTCGAATTCCGTTGGTTTTTAGCAAATTTTCTGATTTTTTATTTAAATTCCCGTAACATGATACATTGTTTTCATGCATGTTTGTGAGTATTTTGCGACGATGATGATGATTTTTAAAATAATTTTGTCCTACATGATATCACACGAAAGGACGTTCGGAGTTCTCTTCTGTCGATTACTGGGAATCGCAGGTTGCTAGCAGTTGCCATTGTCCAATTATTGAAATTACACCTACTTCTCTCTAATTCTGGTGCGCCCAATTAGTCTCATTGACAACAGTCTGTTATCAACATACTGACATTGATTAAAAGGAAAACCGATAGCTTGATTGAAAAGAATTATCTCTCTATTAAATACGTAGACATTATTAAAATCAAAATCGAATTTATTATAAATATTATCCTTCAAAATATTTTATTTTTATTTTCTAATACTAGGTAATTTTTTTTATTTGTCTTTCTTTTGATTTTATATAAAAATAGCTTTTATAGAATATTTTATTCACCTGTTATTTTTTTCTTTGGAAATTACATATGCAGACGACTCTAATGCGTGCCATATAACTACAATGTAATAAACTGCTAAAGGAGAAAAGAAGAGGGAATTTCTAATTACAATCTAATAGAAGGAAAAAAAAAAGATTTTCTTTTTTTTTCATAAGGAAAAGAAAAACATCGTCATTTCAGCTTTTTTTTTCTTTTTCCCCTTCACATTCTCTTCGTTTACGATGTCATCGTCACCGGCAAGAGTGTTGTTTATATTATTTTATCTAGTTATTTTACTATTTGCTACATCTGATCTTAAAAGATTTATTTTTCATGTCCATATTTCACGTGTCGATCGTGTACCTGTAGAAATTGATATTGATTCATCATCATCTTTATGGTATCCAATATCAATTGGAATTATTTTTAATATTTTTATTTTAATATTTTCTATTATTAATTTATATATATTTTTATGGCGACAAAATTTATTAAATCAACTTTTTATTTCAACATTAATTCTATTATGTTTATTTACAATACGTTTTATTATTAATATAATTCTTACTAAATATCGAAATGGTCTTGCAACACCAACACTTGTTGAACGATCATTTTTTGCATCATCATTATCATTAGAAGAAGAACTTACTACAATTATTTTAAATTGGTTGATTAAAATAATTGGTTTTATTTGTATATTTATATATTGTTATAAACAAAAACAACAACAAACTATGAATGTTGAAAGACAAAGTGAAACAAAATTAATGTCGAATTTTGAATAAAACTAATATCTAATCTTCAAATAACATTTTTCATATATGATGACAAATTTGTTTTTTTTTTCGTCTTTTTGTTTATCACTATTTATTTTCCTCTGTAGAAATCTATATGATGAAACATATTATATAAGGAGTAATCAGTAGTTCAAAATATTGACTGTTGTCTTTTTCTTGCTTTTAAATACAATTTCTCAAATTATTCCAGTCCGATTGAATCTAACTATTAATTGTTTGTATCAATAATAAAAATTTTTCTTCTAATTATCTTACTCCTGAATAGAATTTTGAATTAATTCTTCAGGCAACATTGAATAGTACTTGATTTTTGATATATTATTCGGAAAATAAATACTTTATTTCATAAGCATTTCATATACAACATTATAAGTGAATTCAGGTTTATACTTTAATATTATTATCGATACTGTTACACTGACAACATCCTAAGGAGATTTGAATTCATTGACTCTTATATTTTTTTTTTGGTTTTAGTGTTTCATCATCATGTAATCGACAAGTCATTGTTTCTTTCGTGCATATTTTCTTTAAAAAAAAATTAACGTTACTGAAGATAATCTCGTTTGTTTAAATGATCTGCCTAATGAATACAAAAACTTTACTCATAGAGTAATCGCAACTATTATTATTCTGTCAATTTTGGTTTACTTATTTTCTTGAGAACAATAGTTGATCTTATTCTTATGTTAAGATTTTGATTTAGTTAATCACATAACTTTTCCTATGAATAGAGATAATTATTTTAGTAGATGTTAGAATAACTGAATTTGAATCGGTAAAATTATCGCGATATTTTTTTTGGGGAGGGAGGGGGGTATTATTGGTCATTCATTTATTTTTTCAGTATAGTATATTTTTAACTTGGACTCGTAATGTATGATTACAATTACTTTCAAGTACTGCGCTTAAGTGCATCGATATATTCAACTTACACCAACATTTCTTTAGATAGCTTTTTTAAGGATTAATTTGACACCATACTTTAATCATCGACTAATAATATATTCAACTCAACAAGGATTTGAAGTATCTAAATATTGATGGATATCTATTCTCTATTTTGGTAATATAGTCACACCAAATTATATGTGTTTTCGACGAAAACTATTTATATTTATAATCATCCGATAGTAAAATATTCATACCTCAAGTAATTTTATATATAGAAGTTAAGTAAAATATTTTTTCATTATTTTAATAGCCTGACCCTACATTTTTCGATAGTGTCTAGATCACTTCATAGTATAGTGTATTTGTATATCTTATTGATATTTTCAATACAGATTGTCTGTATATATACATTTTAATAATTTGTAGTATTATAACAATTCTATTTGCTTTGATTTGTGTTTTTGTGACCTATTCTAATAATATTCTTGTATTCAGTATTGACCTAACATCATTTAATATCTATTAATCACTTTCATGAATACATTAGTCTCTTGTTATTGATTGGATACGTTTTTTAATGTATGACAAATCGAGATGGAATAATAAATTAAATTCTTTCATAGTCTATTTAGATCTTACTACCTCAACTTAATTAGTTAATTTATTTGATTCATTCAACAGTCATTTTTATAATAATGGATACAAATCAAAGATTACCGTTTTGATTATCAACTATATTTAGTAAATAATAATTTTTATTTCATAAATATTCTATAGCTATATTCGAGTTATTCTTTTCGTTTTTTTTTTAAAAGCTTCAGAAGAAAAATTATTTAAATGTTAAATTTTATACATGTATTGCAATAAGATGTTAATCATTCATGTGAGACCCATTAGTGACGAGCTTCTGAATTCATTTATACAACAAAAGCCCGTTGCTAAACGGGTGTCTAATGAATGTTTGCGTAGCACCATCTTGAATAGTGTTACTTCTGATATTATCATTTACTTACTTGAAAAAAATTACTATTCTTCCTCTTTTTTTTAATATTTTTTTTGCTTCTGTCATTTCTCGTCCGATCGATTAGTGATGAATCGTGCTTATGCATTGTCGATTTATGTTGGTAAGACTTATACTCGGCACACGTTCACATCAAATATTCACTTTGTATAATGTGCACAAAAAGAATGAGAAAGATCGTTTTTTAAAGAAGAGAGAGAGTAAGTGAATGAGATTCGATCTGTCTCGGGAATGGTCGACAGCTGATCTCTCTTCTTATATATGTGTGTGTCGAGTAAAAAATTAACTTGTACGTTCTCTCTCTCTCTCTCTCTCTCTCGTTTTTTTTTCTTTTTGATTCCATCTTGAATCACTCAATCAAGCAATCGAATGATAAGGTATGGTGACGGCAACGACAATCACCATACATACAAATCGTTCTAACAGACATGTGAATGCATCAACAATTAGATCCAATGAATGAATCAGGAAGAAAAAGAAAAGAAAAAAGAAATAATGAATGATGTGCAATCGACTATGGAAGAATGAAC